GCGGGGAGGGCGTCAGGGTGGGCGATGGGGGGACCAGGTGCTGGGCTGTGCAGGGAGGGCCGCAGGGTGGGCCATGGGGGGAACCAGGTGTGGGGTGTGCAGGGAGGGCCGCGGGGTGGGATGCAGGGGGACCAGCTGTGGGGTGTGCAGGGACAGCCACGGGGTGGGATGCAGCCCTGCACATGTGAGTCCACCCTGTGCCTAGGGACCTGCCTGCGTGGCATTTCCCGTGGCGGGGCCCACCCGTGTGGCCTGTGGCGTCACCCTGAGCACGGTGTGTCAGACACAGCCGGGCAGTGGCCCGCATCAGGACTCCCGCTCACAGTGCGCGCGTGTCCCTGAGGACGGCCATGCCATGATTGGCCTTCACCCCTCGGTGGCACCTGGGCTGCTTCCCCTTTGGTGATTGTCACAAGTCATCCGTGTGAACACATGTGTGCCAGTTCTGTGTGAGTGTGTGCTTGTGTCTCTGGGCACACACCTGGAGGTGAGCTGTGGTCACGTGCTGTCTGCAGGGGTAGTACGCCCTCCCCCTGTGTTTCAGCTCTGCCCCGGGTCCTGTGGCCGCTGTGTCACCTGGTCTCGCTGGCCCCGCACTCCCTGCTTGGTCAGCAAAGCCTGCCAGGGTCCCCGGGGCAGAGCTTGGGTTGTGTCTACGCTGCCGCAGGCTGCCCGAGCCGCCGGGCTGCTGCCTAGGACCAGCTCCACGGGGGCTGGTGGACAGGATAGGCAGGGGAACGGCGCCGCCCGACACCAAAGGGGAGTCTGCCCGGCCCGTCCAGGGACAGGGCCGTGAGGCGGCGAGCCCAGGTCCTGCCCCTGCTTACAGCAGGGCTGCACAAAGTCCAGGGGCCCGGGACCAGGCAGACCCCTTGGGGCCCGGCCATGGGCAGCACCCTGTGAGAAGTGGCTGCGCCCCGTGGCCACCTGCCCTGCCAAGGCTGCGCAGAGCCAGACAGCCCAGCGCCCAGGTGAGCGCGCAGGGGCCCGGGAGCTGGGGCGCTGTGACACAGCTGGCTCACTCCAGATCCACTCACGCGGCCCTGCCCTGCCCTGCCCCTGCCCCTGCCCCACGTGTTCTGATGAGGCTCTTCTGGGTCCTCACCCGCAGGAGACTGGGCGGGCAGGCGAGGGGTAGGCCTTCCCTGCCCCTCCCCCGCGGGGTTGCACAAGCCGCTGCGGCCTGGGCTGCGATTACTGGAAGTCCCGAGGATTTCTTCACTGGGGCTGGGCTGGGAGTGGCGGCCACGCCTCCCCTTCCTGCCTCCCTGTGATTAACGTCCGTCCAGGCTGCCTGCGCAGACCACGCCCCCCTGCCCCCCCCCCCAGGGTCCCCACTTCATCGGGAGGGTCCTGGCCGTGAGCCTTCAGTGGGACATCCCTGGGGCCTCACCTAGACCCGAGCTGGGCCCTGCCTCGCCTGTCAGCCCCTACCTGCAAGTGGCCTCACCTGGCTGCTGGGGATTGGCAGGTCTGGGGTCCCTGAGGCCCCCTCGGGGCATGGGGCTGGTGGACACTCCTGCAGCTTCACGCTGTGGCCCAGAGCGAGGGGGACCTGGGGCGGACCTGGGGACGCAGGCCGGGAGGGAGGGGAGCCGCGTGGGTGGTCAGAGCACGCTCAGGACAGCCTCGTCTTGCCACAGGACATGATGCTGCCTCTACCACAGCTGCCACCATGGAGCGCGGGGCCCAGATAGACGTGCCGCGACGCAGGGCGTGGGTCCCCGATGCTCCGGTGGGGCCTGCCATGGACGGGGAGTACCCTGAGCACGAGCCCCCGCCGGCGGGCGGTGTCCTGTACAGCCCACCCCCCCTGCAGGTGAGCGGTGCCACAGACCTCCTCCGGGCTGCCCACATGCCACGACCACACCATCCACCTTTGCAGCCCTGGGTGGCTCTGCCTTCACTCTTCTTGGGGCCTGGAGGGGTCCGGTGTGCCCACGGAGGGAGGTGGACCTGGGACCCCCCAGCTCCGTGGGAGTTCTCCCCCAGGAACCCCATGTCCCATTGAGCTTGCAGGTCCCAGACCTCAGCCACGAAGCCCCTCTGGAAAGGTCACGGCCCAGGGAGAGGCGCTGTCCGGGCTGGGCTTTTCGTCCCAGTCTCGGGCGGCTTTCCGTTTATGGAACACGGAGCAGAGAGCAGGTGGGCGCCCACCTTCCTGCCCCAGTTCCCCACGGTGGGCGCTGCCCGGAGGTGTGGCCTCGGCACTGACCCCACAGCCGACAACGCTGTCTCTCTGTTGAGTGCCCCCGCCAGCCCATCCTTAGCTGCTCCCAGGCCTGGCAGCCTCTGGCCTCGTCACTGCACGGTGGGCCACACGTGGTCGCACGTGGTGGAGGTCCCATGTCCGTTTCTTCATGGTGCTGCTTCATGCCCCTCGTCCACTGGGCCCTGTTTGCGTCCAGGCTGTGACGGCTGTGAGCCGGGTTCTTGAGTCACAGGCAGGGCCCGGCCAGCCTCACGCTGCTCGTCACACACTCGTAGCCAGAGGCCCTGTGCAGAGGGCCCAGAGCCACCTCTTCTCCCCGGTGACACGGAGAAGACACACACGTGCTGCCTGGTGGGGGAGCCTAGGAGAGCCAGGTTCAGAGTCCCCATGGGCCGACAGGGCAGCCACCTTCCCCTGCAGGGGGGTGGGGCCGAGGGCCGTGCCTGTAGACCCAGAATGACAGGTGTGTAGATGTCGCAGAGCAGGCCGGGAAGGCTGGGGTAGTCGCTGAAGCGAGGGCGAGGGCGGTTCCGGAGGAGCCCCATGGAGCACTGCCTGCGACGGCCCGGACGTCAGAGGCGCCTGGGCCAGGTAGTTGTAGCTAGGTCAGACGTGCCCACGTGGTCGCGGCGTGGCAGTGTGTGGGATGGGAAGCTCCAGAAAGCAAGCCTCACAGATGCGGGTGGGAGGGAAAAGCCATTGCGACTCAGCCCCTCCGTCGTAGCTGGAAAGCCGTGGCCAAGGCCAGCACCCGTGGCCGGGCT